AAGAATTTGAATTTATTTATTGGAGTATATATACAAAATAAAGTATTTTTATTTTAAATTTGAATAAAAATTTAAGTCAAATGTTCTAGTATTTAGAATTATTATGAGTAATCTGAGCTTAAAGATATGATATAATGTGAATATTTTTAAGAGGGATGTTGGTAGTATTATATATGTCTATTTGAGACCGTCTGATAAATTTATTGAAGCCTGTTATATTTTATATTATAAATTTTTGAGTTCAATAGTATTAAAACCCATGTTATGATACAACTTATAGTAGGAACAGATTTAATCTCAAAGTCTAAAACCCTCAATAATAATTAATACTGAAAAAATAACAAGTTGTCCGAAAAGAAAAAAAAGGAGAAAACAGGGTCCACAAAATACAAGAATATTAAAACAAAGACAGAGGGAGAGTTTTTAGATTTGAGAGAGTGAGAGAGAGAGAGTCTGTTAGCTTTGGGATTTTGAATAAGGTATGGATGCATGCGGCCCTTATATTTTCCGGGGTTTATGTGTTCTCTTGAGGATTCAGAGTGGCCAATAAGGCTTTCTTCTATGGTGTCCTTCTCTCTTCTCCGATCCGGTAAAGATTTGTCGACCCAACAATTTCCTTGGTTTTGTTCAAAATTGTGTGTGTTCAATCTGTTTTACGACATATATATGCAAACAGTTGTAGAACACATTGTGGATTTGTTCTTGCACATATCTAATTTCAAATTTACAAGTATTGTTCTAGATTTGTATGCCCTCTAGGTTTTACAATCTAAGGGTATATGCCCATATAAGATTTATAATTTTATATGACTCTGGCAATTCCATGTACTTGTACCTTTGTGAAATTCAAGGCATGGTTTGATTATATCTAAACAAAGATGTGTGAATATAGACCCTCGGCCACCCTTCCTTTGCAAGGCAATTTTAAAGGTAAGTTCTACCCATATGCCATATGGATTGGTATAAGGGCTAGCCACCACGTTGTGTATGTGATCGAATACAATATGGGCTGTGGCTGTCTATGTTCAAATCATAGAAAGAACAATCTATATATTGGATTAAAATGTATTGGTATTATGTATGTGTATGATGCTAAGTCATTGAATAACGTTGGGTTAGTATCAATAGAGTGAGTTGTCGCGACGTCAATTGCGGAAGCGTGGGGGTACGTTATGGTTCCACGCCGCTTAGGTATGAGCTTAGATGTGGCAATAAACCCTTGTCCACTCTTCTCCTAGTTTTCAAAGGAAAATTCTACCCAAGGAAAAGCCTCATGTATCATGTCAGAAATTTCTTTTTGAGAAGGAAAGAGCATAGATTGTCAAAACAATACAATTGATAGCCTTATAATCACATAGTTTTGCAAAGCCTCATGTATCATGTCAGAAATTTGTTGTGGTTATGTAAAAACAACAACGAGCATAAAAAGAAGGGTGTTATAGACTTGTTATACTAAAATACTAAATTATTATCCACATTAACAGCCACCCTTTGTCAAAAGTCTGGATGATGTGTAATTTATCTTTACTAACATTACAAATTTGTATTTCGCCATTCTCCTGATTTCTATTTTTGTGGTCATGGCATCACGCCCTTCAAACAATATAGATGTTCCTTCATTTGAAGGATATTTTTCTAGTAATAAGAGGTAATTAGGATGGTCATGGAAGATTGACATTGAAAACAATTAAATGTGATGACATAGCTTGAGTGGTATCTCATTGGTTCTGGTGCTGTTAGCTTGAATTGGTATCTCTTGTAACTTATTGGAGAGATGAGAATTCTGTAGTCCTGGTTGGAATGTGTCTTTGTTAGCCATGGTTGTCATTACCTATCATAAGAGGGGAAAAAATGGAAAAAGAAATGTCACGTTGAGTTATATTTGCAAGAGGGCTATGTAGATCACAGTGGCAATCAACTTGATGAGATGGGTACCTTCTGCCTACTAGGTAAAACGAAGTTGCTTAGAGAGAGCTCCACAACAAATTAGGGATGCCCCTTGAGTGTAAGGCTTGAAATGATGGATTATATTGGTTTTGGGTATGTTATATACTCTTTACTTAGTAATGAGCAAATGATGTCTGAAATAGTCCTAATTACACTTTAAGGCACCATTACGATTACAACAATCAAAAACTTGTCTTCCCTAGCCATATAATGGCATTAGAACCGCCACCTTATCATGCCTTTTTACTAAAACCCCAAAGTACAATACCTACATTAGATGTTAGCTACATAAACAGTTCATGTCAGCCCTATGAGACCCTTTCCTTGCTCGAAGCTCAAGTTTTAGCATCATAACTTGTACGAGTGTTTTCCCCTTGTCCTTCATGATTCATCTCTAATGTGCACTACGACCTACAAGTTCTCAAGGTTTGTGTTTCCCTTGATTTGTTCTGAGAATTTAGATGTTTTATGTTATTTTTATCGCCCTTTTATCGAAAAAAAAATTATTTCCCACTTTTTCCCTTCTTCAAATTAGTTTTTCTAGAATCAGAGTGTTTGGCCATATGTCATATTTTTGAGAAACAAAGGTAACCATGAAACAAGGCCTGCTAATTTTGCAGTTACCATGGGTCATTTATTTGGGGTATGTTGGTTATTATTTTTTATGTTTGATTTATGATTGAAAAAATACTAACAAATATAAAAACTATGTTCATTTTTTTTTATGGTTTTTAATTTTTAACTAATAGTTGTTTTGAGTTTGTAAATAAAAGAAACAAATATAATTTTTTTTTAATTAAAAAAACTTGGAACTTGGAAGACAATTTTTTGATAGGGTCTCTATCCTAACCGATTCCATTCTTGCGCAACCATGTCTACATCTTCTTGCGATCCTTCTCTCTCGTTCACGCTTTTCTCTACCTGCCCCCTCTTCCTCCCCCCAAAAAAAAAAAAAAAAACCACCCATCATTGCATTGTTGCCACCCACCCAACCTAACGACAAGGCCATGGTCGACATCATCCAACACAGGCGCCACCACATCCATGGTGTCACAACCAGTCTAAAGCAATGAGGTGAGAAAATTCTGAATTTAGTGGAGAAGAGATGTCAGATCCAAACACATGACGCTATGGATTTGAATGTCAAATGCACCATTGGACTGTTGCCACTTGCCACCCAACCAATGAAATAGTGACACCCTTGTTCATGGCATACAACACACGCCACCAAACCAGTCAAAAGCAATGGAGAGAGAAGTTCTAATTCTACTGGAGAAAGAGCTTTCGAGTCCAAACACATGAAACTATGGATTCGAATTTCGAATGCCATTCGATTCTCCTTCAAATTACAACAACTCAAATTTCAAAGAAAGAGGTTTCGGGATCCACACACTCAAATTCTGTCTATATTTATGTATATGTATATAAAGCTGCTCAAAGTCTTGGTTTTAATCCTCATGGGCCTTATCTTTGATATCGCACTTTGTCACCAAAATTTTATTGGCTCTTAATGTCTTAAATCAAATTCAAAAGCGCAATGCGCAGTTACACAAATCAACAATTAGTGGCCACAAATAAAACTTTCAACCCTCGCAAGCCCTTGTAACTTTCTTCAGAATGAAAAGTTCTAGTGTTTCGGCCGGTAATTTGCCGGTAATTTTCCTGTACCTATTACTTTTATAGGTTTGTTATGGGCAATATTGGGTAAAAATGATTGACATCCATATTGACAAATTTGGCTTTTGTTTGGATATATATATGACCAACTTGCCGCTATTTGATATGTGGAAACTGTGGCTATTCAATTATTAATAATACTAAGAGTTTGTTTAGTGTGGTAGTGGAGAAAGATATAGTTTCTTGTAATTCAGTGATTGTTGGGTTTGGTGAGAGCCGGTGAATTGGACAAAGCTCAAAAATTGTTCTATCAAATGTCAGATAGAGTTGATTAGATGCTACAGTGTGTGCATATGCAGCGATTGGAGGGATGAATTTGGCAATTGAATTGCTCGAGAAGATGTTTGGTCGTCCCTTGTGTCGTGTAGCAAAGCTGGAGACTAGGAAGCACAGATACAGATATGAATATGGGTACGATATGTATGGATACGACAAAATTTCAAAAAATAGGGTACGGGTACAGTCGGGATATGTCTATAAATATATATATTTTATATTTTTAATATTATATAATGACTTGATACCTATAATTTTTAGTGATTTTTTAACAATAATAAATAACATTAACAATTTTTTTATTTTCAAAAAGTTGCTTATCGTCTCAATATGGTATATCTACAAAGTGAACGTGATACATTAAAGTTATTTTTGAACAAGTGATAATGGATAATACTCGGTGTTTCATATGTCTTCTAAGTCATAAATTTTTGTTAATGTATTGCATTATATGTGAAATCAAAAGGAAGGAATAAAGATTAAAACTAAAAATTACACATACTTCTCTGCATATTGAAAGATTCGCAAAGTATCCATATATTTTATTTATTATTAGATTCGTTTGATGTGTATCCGATACGTATCCTCGAGTATCGTATCTGATACGGATACGTCGACATTAACAAAGTATCCATAGTTCTTAGGTTGGAGATATGAAATTTGATAGATAGTTGTGGATGATGTGTCCATTTTTATATAAGGCTTACATGATATACTTGGGGATGGGGTGCTCTTCAAAGTCAAGTGCAGCATCTTCTAGTGATGTGGGTCAATCAGACATTTCAACTCATATGCCCTATTAAATGAGAAAGAATAAGTTTGTGAACCAAACTTGTATTTTGTCTTTTATCTTGTTAAAAACAGAAACATTAGCAAAAATGTTTTTGGTAAAAAAAAAAAAAAAACAAACTAAAATTCAAACAATTTGAAAACTAAGCACAAAACAAAACGTTGCCAAAGACTACCTTAATGATCTCCTTTTTGTATGTGATCAGGTAGATCATGGAGCCAGTGTTGTTTTAAACGTAAAAGAGTTAGTGTCTTCATTTAAGGGAACCGAAGGCAAAATACTCTAGATATTTGCTAACGTGGTTCAGGTGATGATGTTGATACAAACTTCCCTTCCTAGTTCCATTGAAGCTGCTCATTCTTTTGTACCTAACTATGGGACAAAAGAGTTTTCTTGCGATTGGATGCCTGGTGCTGAAACTTGGGAGAAGTGTCCAAAATGTGATAAGCATCCTCAGGGTGACCGGGGGCAAGCTGTACCAGTTGTGGAGGGAGAAAAAAGTGATATAGATTCGTGTTCCTTAGATTTTCCAAGAAATTCCCAACTATCATCTACTAATACTATGTCTGAAAGTTCTACAACCACTTTAGTATACCAGAGAAGGAAGCTCCAAAGAATACTGTTGCTGTTTGCCAAGCCCTGTCATCAGCTAACACGAGGCAAAGCGATGGTCATGTTTCTGCTATCAGTTTGGATGCTCCTTCAGTGGCTGTCAAGGAACGTCTAGTTGAGGTTGAAACAGAAGCTGTTAGATCATCTGCTTTTCTTTCCTCTGAACGCAAGAGCAGGGCCCTTGTTTCAAATTCAGAATCCTTTAATGGATGTACTGCTGTCAAAGAACCTGGTTCTGAAGCAGCCCTAAGAAGTGACATGCACAAAGATTTAGACTCTGGATGTATGAATGATATTTGTTCATCATCAAAGTCAAATATAGATATCGGTTTAGCTTGCTTGAGGACTGAAGTGGATGATGCTGGTGAGTGCTCCTCTTCTGGTGCGTTGATTACTGAGGGACTATGGGATGATATGTCGGAGAAGAAGATATGCATCTCAATTCTTAGAAGTGAGGGTTTGCTTGGAGGAGTTCGAACTATAAGGACTTGTGCTTCTGCTGGAGGAACAAGTATCAGTAATGTCAGCTGCTTTTCAAGGTCATGCAAAGTCTGTGACATTTCTGAATCGACACTGAAGATGCTTATCTGTGATAATTGTGATGAAGCATTTCATGTGTCTTGCTGTTACCCTCGTATATCCAAGATACCGGTTGATGAATGGTTCTGTCACTCTTGTTTGAAAAAGAAGCATAAAATATTAAAGGAGAAAACCAGTAAATCACTTATTATCAGCAATGAAATGGGAAGATGTAGGAATGCAACATCTAAGGGTGAATTGGGTCCTATAGCATTCATGGTAAGAGACACTCTACCGTATGCCACCAGTGTTCGAATTGGTGACGAACATCAAGCAGAGGTTCCTGACTGGTCTGGTCCAATTTTTCAGTATGTTCTATCTGAAATCCTCATATTAATTCTAATCGTTTTGGGACACTTGCTGTTAATAGCTGTATGTTCCTATCTTGTATTTAGAGGAAAACAAATAAGCACACAAAGTCATTAATACAGATCATGATTTTTGAAGTGAGGTAAGTATCATATGCAAATCAATCATATGGACATGATATCTATCTATCGTTTTTGCCCATACTGGCCTTCATAATAATAACATATGGACTAAAATTCCAACAATGCTTGTTATATTTATGTTATGCAGGACATGTTCCTATAGAAAATTTATTTTCAGATGCTTGTGGACACAACACATATATATACCCATGTCTCATGCTTGTTTTGACACTTCCAGAGTTCTACCTTTCCTTAAATAGTCATTGAGCATAAATACAATGGTGTAATGCTTTCCTTGTGGGATATTTTTAATATAGCTATGTCATCCTTGTTAAATTTCAAGATTATATAAGTGTCATAATCATCAGCAGTTTAGTATATTTTTAAGAGCATAAGCATAAATAGCCATTTCTTAGATCTGGAATTTGAGGAGTTGCCATATGTGGTTCAATGATTGTTCCAAAAGGTGACATGTTTGTGTATAAGTATAGTTACGTGTGTATTACTAAATATGAGGTATTGTTGGATATGTTCTAATATGTACTAAAAAAACAATATTCAAAAGCATGTTTTCGAGAATAGTTGTAGAAAACTGTGTTTTGATTTTTTGTATTCCAAAACATGCTTGGTTATATGATTCTGAAAATAGTTTTAAAAAATAAAAAATAGTAAAACAAATTTAGATAATGATCCAATTAATAAAAATAAGGGATATAATTTGAATTGACTTTTTGGTAAAAATCTTCTGAAAAACAGCATAAGAGTGAGGGCGGGGGTGGGGTGTGTTGCCTTGGTTTTCTTTCTCAACCATTATTATACAACATGTGGACGAACAAGATTTACTTATAGAACTCTCAACATTGAATTATCTGATGCTAGGAATTAACTCACGATATTTTCTTGAAAAGACCCAAGGATAAAGGACAAGTGTCGAATGCCAATGGAAAGATCTCAGCCAATAAAATATTAAATTCAAAAACTAAACATACAGCAAAAATGTCATTCTTTCCCTCATGAAGGACAACAAAACAAAGCCAACAATATAGATCCCAAATTTTTGGTTTATACAAGGTCGGATCTAAGGCAAAAGCCAAACTCAAGAAAATATGCTAAATTAATCGGCGAGAAATAATAAAACACATGGAAATAGTATTTTTCAAGAAGTTGTTAGAAGCCGATTGAACCTTTTCTTGCGCGGTTTGTGCCATTTGAAAGGCTGAAGCTTCAGACGAGATTGGGGGGTTTAAAAGATCGGCTTGCTTGGAAGTGGAGTGAAATACGGTGGATGAGGGAGACAAAAATTCCTTTTAAATGATGGCTTTAAGTATATAGTAGATTGCATTATGTGTTTTCAATTTTTTTCAAAACTGTCTCAAAACTGACAAAAACATATTATTAGTGTTCTCTAAAATTCTGACTTTTTGTCCCTAGTTTTCGAAACTGGATACAAAGCTCTGCTGTCCAAACAACTTCTATTATGTTTTTCATATCCGAAAACAAGAAAACTATTTTAAAGATGCAAACTAAACAGGCCCATACTTTCCATGTTATTCTTCATTTTGGAGGTCTTTATATTAAGAGGTTGTTAGTGAAGTTATGCACATCCAGAGCTTCATGCACTCTTATATTATGGACTATTTTAGAAGTCATGGACTTAAACTTCCTACCGATTCAGAGGAATGTCTAATTCTTAGTGGGATTTGATGGCATTGGATTTTGCCAGTTTTCCAAGGTATAGAAGTAATAGATCATAGATGGCCAATAATAACTGATTGCAGAGTCCAGTAACTTTTTTTATTTTTGAATGAAAGATTTTGAGGGTGAATCTCTCTTGGATTGCTTGAGTTCTTGTATTACATTTGTCTCTTAGTGAGCTACTCAACAAATATTAGCCTTCACTAATTTGGATGGTTTATTTTGTGTTTACTTTTGTATTCTTGTTCTTGTTTTTGTTGTTGATCGATGTTCATTGTCACCAATCCTACTGAGATACTTATACATATCTGCTTGAATAAGTTTGTTTTTGCCTTACCATTGTCATGTTCTAGGTATATTTCCTTTCTTTTTGTCTGCTTTGTTTATTGGTCTGCCTGTCTTCCTGTTCGTTTTTTTCCTGTCCTCTTCGATTATTTCCCCTATGGTTAATTGTGGCCATTTTGATTTTCTGGTGCAGTGAGATCGATCCTCCTAGTGAACCATTGGAAATGAAACCGTCAGAGTGTGTTCTCTTGCATGTAAGGCTTTCATTTTTTTATCACTTTGTTGTTGCATGTTGTTAGTAGAGTTCCACATTATTCAATTGAATTTTTTTTAATTTTGTTACCTTCAGGAGTTGAGTTCCAACAAGCCTTCCAGACTCAGCTCTATTGGTAACTGGCTTCAATGCCGAGAGGTTATAGAAGGTGTTGATGGAACTGTCTGTGGAAAGTGGCGCAGGTAAACCAATTACTCTTTTGTTTCCCTGGGTGAATACCATGAGCTATGATCTTTTCTTCCCGTTTCATGTGGAAGTATAGAAGAGCAAATGCTGGAGACACATAGATAGGGAGTGTTGCTGTAAATTCAGTAGGTTGTCCATAGTCCCAGGAAGCTATTTATGCACGAAGGCATGGGGGAAAATATAAACTATAAAAAACTTAAACTCTAGTAATTAATTTGTCTTCATATCAACGAACTCTAATATGGTTTTGTCACTTAAGAGTAGAAAATCATTGTCCCAGTTTGACATCTGACGGAATTTTCATGTTTTGTAGATTTTAGTTATGGGAAAAAGAACAACGTTTCACTGTTATAATTTCCTTTCTTTTAACTGGACTATTACATGGTCACAATTGCGTTTACCAAAACAAAAAAAAAACAAGAGTACCAAAATAGTATTCATTTTGTTGCCATACTGATGGCATATCCATTTTTTGATAATGAAAAATCTGAAGTAAGATGTACAAATGCTTGAGAGATTTTTTAATTACTAATATGATGTCCCATGCGGAAAAACACCATGGAGATTGTATGCAATATGAATTCCATTACACTTCAGGTTGACAGAAGATTACTCTTATGGAATTCAATTGCAATATGACTAATTTAATAATTAGGTGAAGAATTTGGCATATTACCATGTTTACGCTCCATAGACTATAATTTTCCTACTGGGGGCTGTAGTATTTTACTACGGCAAACAGTTTCCATTCGGGTGGGTTATTTGTTATTAGGTTTTTGGATGTTCAGGGATGCTCCTATTATTATGGTGTGACATTACGTTTTATGTTCTACGCAATGTATCTTTGGGGAGTAATAGAGGAAGAGTAGGACATGATCAAGGGTAAGAGAGAAAAAGAAAAAATTCTAAGGAGATTGACCAAGTAAGTTTTATCTATATTAGGCAAGCTATGCAGAGGCATATATAGAACTCCTATAGAGTAATTCACTCCAGGTTTGTCACACTTGTATATGTAGGATATGGAGAATTTATAATCTGGCATAGAGTTTTTTTAACTTGCAGAGCTCTCTTCTCTTATCACATTTGTTGTATTATCTTTTATCTTCTGCTTGATCAATTTTTCCAGTTGGTTGTCAAGATGAATACAATTATGCTCAAGCTGTTTAACGTACTAGTTGACACTACAGGGCTCCCCTTTTTGAAGTTCAAACTGATGACTGGGAGTGTTTCCGCTCTGTGCTCTGGGATCCAGCTCACGCTGATTGTGCTGTACCCCAGGTAACATAACCTTTTTCTTTCTAAGTTCCATTTTCATATACGACCTTTGGGTGTTGGAGACTTTGCAAAGAAGGCAATGCTGTTGACCTTGAGTAGCTGGTTGGGTGGCGTTTATATGTGTCCTTCATTGTCATGCTTACTTTTATGTATCACTTTATAAAGTGAAACTTTCTCCAGCACATTTTCAGCATTTTTTGGTGTTTGGTTGCACAAAATATTTCGGGTATCCGTATTCCAGAAAATACTTTACACATCTTGAAAATGACTTCTTGTCTTTTGCAGCATGAGTCTTTATCCGAGTAAGGTTTATATCATATCCAAATTATAGGCATTCATTCCCATAATCATACTAATTCATGTGCAAGAGCCAAATACATGATTTTGTGTCTATATCTAACAGTAAAAATGCATCTACTTTTGTGCATACATATAAGCTTCTATATCTTCACATGCATCTGTGTGTGTTTGGGTATCTTTTGCATTTTCTCGGAAGGTAGATATTTGTGCCAATAAATTTGTGCATTTTTTTTGCGAAGTAAATCATTTTAAAATTTCAACTGAAAATGAGTATGAAAACTATTATTTTTTTGCATGGAATAGATATTCTATTGGAAATATGTTCTGACAATAAACTTTTTTTTTTGAAACAAATGGAGTGTATGACTCAATATCATACATATACGAACACACAGAAAGTGTGTTTGTCCGCGAAGTATTTTTTCATGCCTAGGAGTTCTACTTTTCATCAGTGTTACACACAACCCGAAGGTAATAAACTAACCTTCCTTGGCTAGAGTGGACCCCACTCCTGGCACAACCTGGTACCCTATGCACATATATAATGATAAAATCACAAAACACCAGCCAGGTGTTCAAATAACAAATCACACTCATAGACATAAGATTTCTTTAAGACCAGTAGCCTCAAGTCTCATGCTGGGGGTGTTCAAACTTTGAAATATACCTCTCAACTCTAGATTCTCCACTGATTGAACCAGACCCAACAGGGTACATCCTTTCTATCCACACACCTAAAAATATAAACGGTAAGGAGTAAGCATAATACGCTCACAGGACAGAACAAGTCAGGTATCAAGTTATAATGATAAAGTAATCAATGTCATGTCAATATAAATGATGACAACCCACCACACAGGCCACAATCCGTATCATATCATGTACCATAAACAATCATCTTAGCATGAGCCACCAATTTTTATTGATTCAATACATATACATTCTGGTGCTATCCATATCCTAATTTTGTTAGGTTTTTCATATTGCTATATCCGTTTGTATTACACCCTTATCCTGTGTTTGTATCTTTGCTTCATAGGTGATTACTTTAAGCTGGCCCTGGGAAAAAAAGTGGTAGCTTGGATAAGGGGGCATCTATGCCAGCAACCAACTTGTTGACAGTAATCCCATCTTATTTGGAAATCGTGTGATGGGTGACCCTCATTGTAGATTCATAGATACCGCTATATTACTGGCCATTCCTGAACCTCATTAGTGTAGGCTTTGGAATCGTATTGTCTGGTTTGTATTCTTAGAATGGGATCTAATAATCGCATGGTTTATAAATCTAGCAGATGCTTGGTTTGGCCTTTTTGGTTGAGGACTTGAGATGATAGTTGACCAGCCAATCTGAAAAACGTGGGTTAAATTATTTAGTACCCCCCCGTCGGCAGGTGGGGGCCCCCTTTCCTTGTGGTTTAAGTAAGTGCTACTTGACTTCCTTATAGGTTGAAACCCCAGACTCTACCCCCTTATGGTTTTGGACTAATGTATTACCGTTAGAATTTCTTCAAGGGTTGATGGTCAAAGGACGAAATTAAAATTTTCAATAAAATAACATATTAAATTCCTTTTTCTATATAAACAATCTTTCTCACTCTCTATTTAGGAAGAGTGAACACTAAAAGATTTGAAAAGATGAAAGTTATCGTTGTTTTTTATACTATCTTGCTAATCTCATCAAGTGTCATACTTTAGTCTTAAAGTTTAAGGCGGTGAAGTACAAATTTCTAAATATTGGAAACATAAAACGCTACTTCTATTATGAAGTTTTGTGATTTTTATAGATTGTTTGTAGGCCTGTCAAAGTCAGATTTCAACCAATCCAAATCCGAGTAAAAACTCCTATCTGAATGCAATCCAAATGTTTGATGAATTTTACTGTTATAGACCACATCCGAGTCTGTCAAAAGTAAAATTTAATGACATGCATGTATACTTCTACACACACATACATATCATTCTGATTGGATAACAATCGCATTGGATAGTGGATGTCCAAATCTGTATAATATGATTGGTAAGGATTTGGATAATCGGCCAAAAAGATCGATTCATATTTGACTTAACGGATACTCTGATCAAGACCTTAACCATTGAGCAGAGTCCTGTCAAAAGGCTGCGAGATAGCAGACACACAAATGTTTTGCTCGTCACTGGTAAATTTTATTTATATAAATTGTAGTAGGATGAAATTTTTTTTTTTCATTTTTCCTTGTTTCAGATCCTTGTTTTATTGGCTTGATTTGAACTTGAATATTATTTTTTTATGTGTCCAATAAAGGAGTGCTTTAGTTTTGATTGTAGTTTCAAATAGTTTACTTTGCCTTTGACTCCATATCTGTGATGATGGCAATTAGTCCAAACAAATTTTTTCTATTCTTGTATGAATTCTTTTTATTTCTGTGTCTCAGGAGCTGGATACTGGTGAAGTTCTAAAGCAGTTGAAGTATATAGAGATGGTATGTCATTGCAATCTTAGTTCAGGGTCTTTATGAATTGTAAATTGTAACTTATACACGCCATCTGTGAAATGGGCACATAAGTTCTTTTCTCTCATTATTTTTGCAGACAAAAATAATCTTAGTGGGGACCATTGGGAATATTTTGCATCATATGTACCCCGTCACCCCCCCCCCCCTCCCCAAAAAAAAAAAAGTTTAAATCTTTCATACTATGTTGCTTTGTTGGTGTATACCCAAAGTCGTGAGTTATAGTCCTTATTTATATTATTCTTGTCTTGACCAATGTTCACTGGTTATCATTTTTCTGCTGTGTAGTTGAGGCCACGGCTGGCTGCTAAAAGGCGCAAATTAGATCACACAAAGACAGTTGGTTCACAAGTTCTTACAGAGGATGTCACAAGTATACACAATCAGTAGGTATTTGAAGAAAAGATTCTCATCATGTATCTTGTTCATTTAAGCATAGAGTTTAAAAGATTCCAAATTCTAGTAAGCTAGATCTTCTCCTTCACCGTCAGCTAATGTTGTAACTGTTGGAGGAATCAAGGTGACTACATATCAGTCAAATGATTGAGCTTCTAGCCTCTCTTGTGTTTGTTTTACTGATTTGTAGTTGTGTCCATTTTCAATTTTCTTGTATAGTGAAGATGATATTTTAACTCCATGGTTGAGCTGTTATGTTTTTTGTAGCTTCTTCAAGATAATGTACTTAATAAACAGTTTTGTTGGGTATTGTATATGTGAGAATCTCATATAGGATAGATAGAAAAAAAAAATAAATTGTTGATTGACTTATTATTTACAAGCTTAAATTTTTAGGTAAGTAGCGTCCTGTTTCTCCCAACAAATGGTAACAGAGTCGACGACTATCTTCTCGTGCTACCATCCCAACAGGTGAATCGGCTGGATCTGTGGGATGTGAACGGAGATTTGATCATTGCGTAGTACCAAGCAGGGTAGAGATTCTGTAATCATTTATCAGCAAATGTCCTTCAGCCTATTTCTTTTTCTTTTTATCTTTTTATGGGTACATTTCAGCTTTTTTGCCCATACATATACTCTTCACTTGTGATTGACATATTAGCTATGCCAAGTAGTTCAACAACTTACCTAATAATCTGTTTTCCAAAAGCTATTGCAAATATTCCTTACCTAATTATCGTAAAAACTCTACAAAACAGGCTTAAGCGGTTATCTCAACTATTTAAGGTCGGTTATATGAATCAAGTTGTGTGTTTGTATTCACAATTCCCTGAAGGGCAAATATTACTATGACTTTTATTGTGTTCCACTCCAATGAAAAATACATATACCTATTGCTAAAAAGGGCAAAGAGATTATGCGGTACAAAATAGGCTAGACTGCCTCAACATCTACGAGGGTAAAGGGCAAACTTACTTAGGCAATTACAATCACTAAAATACTCTCCCAAGAAGTTGTCACTCGCTGTAGGCTTACTTATAAATATCTTATATGTCACATTTATGCCTAATAACAGAACATTATGATCCGAGTGAGTGACGATGGCTTCTCTCCATTTACGTTTCCTCTAACAAGTTTGAAGGGCAAGGACACGTTATCGCCAAAATTTGCGTAGTTAGTTTTTTTTATTTATTTATTTGATTTGCATCTTTACTTTATAAGATATAAAGATAAGAGTAAGAAAGTCTCACTTTGTTCTTTACTATCATACCTCCATCCTATTTATTCTCTAAGAGAGATGCCCGACTTTCCTCAGCATGAATGTAAAGAAAATCAAAAAAATTAGAAGAAAACTAACGAAATATTCTTCATTTGTGTAGAGGAGGAGGGTTATCAGTATATTTATTCTAGTAATTAATGGCTCAAAAAAAAAAAAAAAAACCCTTATGTTCATCCTGATCTAGTATTTCAACCAAAATCCACCCAAAATTTCAACAACCTTGATCCATTCTGATCCAAAATTGACAACTTCAAACCAACCAACAAGCAGAAAAGCCCAATCACACCCAATAGCTTGTCTAAAGTTGGCCCTACTTGGAGAGCGAGAGAGAGAGAGAGAGAGAGAGAGAGAGGGGACACTCTCATTTTGCCGTAGAATTTTCCCGCAGACAGAAACAATAATAAAGGACAAGAGAAGGCATTGTTAAGTATAAAATGTAAAGGAAATTAATGAGAAGCATCATGGGAGAAATAAAATATCCCGAGAGAGCTGGAGGATTTTGAGCATTGGATTTTTTTATACACTTGGGGACAGGTGTGTTTTGGCTCTTTTTATCTTTTGTATGAAAGCTATGTGTGAGAAACTTCCCCATCCACTCTCATATCTCTATGCTTCTTATTCATTTTGGATTGTAAAACATTTAGCCATTTATTATGGTAAGAGAGTTTTTGGTATTTTTAAGAATCAACAAAATTATTCGAAAACTCTAACCAGCGGGATAATATTATTTATGAGAATCAATAAGTCAGTGTTTTTATTATTCTACATTATTCTACTTATTCAAAAAAAATAAAAAAATTCTCTTATTCACAAGCATCCTCCCTAGATTGGCTAATGTTCCGGGGTCCGCATTTATCTCTCTTCTACATTCTTTTGTTTCTTCTATGGGGCCATCCTATTCTTTTGATCTTCCTACAACACATGTACAAACAACATGTACCAATATAATACAACACCTATTATACATTCTTTTTTTTTTGGTTTAACGGCGAGAGATGTTCGATCAATTCTATATGCACTTTGATTAATTTCTTATCCGATCTAATTAAAATTACATGACCAACACAGAGACTAGAATATTCATAAACTTCGTGGCCTAGACTATAATACATTATTATATACTGCTAGCAAGTAGCAACAGCTTCTCTCTCTTTCTGTCTCTCTCTCTCACACACACACTCTCTGCGGATCCAGCTTTTTATTGCCTATGATCTAGTTCACAGCCTGTCAATCACGAATTAATAACACCCATTTATCATATTTTAAGTGAAGCATACTTTGTTGTCTTGTTTCTACAAGGAAAGTAAGACGACTCAGTTTTTAGCCTGGTAAGAGATTGCTGGTGTATTCCCCTGTTCTCTCCCAATTCAACGTTGTCGGGGCACTTTGATTTCTTCGCCGTTCATGTCACAAATAATGAGACATGGGTGTTTATGAAATGAGATTGGCATGAGGGTGGAAAATTTTCAATGAGCCTCAGAAGAAAATATTGCAGGTAAGGTAGGTACATACTTCTTCTTCCAGGTTCTTGTTTTCATTATTGTTCATTAGTTTTTAATGCTAATGCTGTTGCTAAATATTTTTTCAGTCATTTGTATGGAGGAAATTTACTTATGTTTACAAAATTTTATGATTAAGACAACAATGATTCATGATTTGATACAGAGAGAGAGAGAGAGAGAGAGAGAGAGAGAGAGAGAGAGAGAGAGTTTTGTTTTTGCTTCAAGGAGGTCTAAACTTGAAATATTTCCCTGTTATGAGACATATCTATTTTTTCCCCTGGAAATCTTTCGCTGCTTAGCTTTTTATTCGCCTCTGATTATCAAATGAAATGTGAATAATTCGTTCACCTCTCATCGAAAGAAGGGGTGCTTTTGATTCTGTCAGTGCTTGGAATAATTTTATCTTTTCTATATTACTATATCTCTAGAGTCAATAATTTTATACGAGAAATTACTGAACTCAATATATCTTTTGCGGTAGCAATGTCTAATCCCATTTAGAGTCTACATCTAATATAAGTTCTTGGATAATTGATTATGCCTAGTGCTAGATTGACCCAAAAATGAGATAAAAAACCGGGATTAGATGATGTAATATTATTATAATAATGTTGTTGATCTTTCTTTTACATGTTTGAAATTTAATTTTTTTTTTATTATGGTAATACCACATAATTTAATTTTTAATTTTAGTTATATTTTTTGGTTAGTGTAAATTTAAACGTGGGCGGCATTATAGAAGTTAAAAGAATTCTTCTTCTAGATGTTCTTGTGATAGCTTCTTTCACTTTATGAAATTTGTTGGATATGACTCAAGAATGATTAGATGTTCCCATTGGTGTTTGTTTGTTAAGTGTGGAATTTTGAGACTTACTGACTTGTAGTCAACTAGTTCCTGTCTCCACCTTCATGTAGTGACCTTCATCATTCTAGAGTTTAACCAAGTCCTATGTAATTTTTATCATATAACGAAAAAATATTAAATTTTGTAGTTAACGTGTCCACCCGAAAATAAATTTTTAGCTCCGCTCTTGTTTACACTTTGAGATTTTTTTCTCTCTTTTTTTCCCCTTTTGCATAGCGTTCGAGCTTTTTAATGGCTATTTACATGATTTTTGATACCAGTGAAGTTGTGTTTTAGTGCATAAAATTTGATAATTCCTTGTAATTCAGGCATGGGAACAAAATTCCTGTTTCTGATTGATCAATTAGCTACCTCTGGAAACCACCATTTTTGGGCAAGTCACCTGGATGTTTGGGACTACTTACGGGACATAGTACTAGAAAACAGCCTAAGACGGCCACGGCCTGGTCTTGAAAGGTTTCAGAATTTAATGGAGAGGATGCTTGAACCACACACCATAGAATCCCTTAAGAGGACAATGCTGATGCATGAAGAAATCTTCAAACACCAGGTGAAGAAATTCTCATATTTCTCTCTCCTCCTCCTCATACATCTTTTAGACTTTTACCACCATGTTGGATTTTCCTAAAATTTAAGAGATTGACTTATTTTAGTCTAAGGGAATCTCCGAAAATAGTTCTAGAATCAATCATTTTAACTATCCTATTCAAAGCTTATGAATCAATAGAAGCCGAATAGAAAACAACAATTATCAAGTATCATTTCAACAACACTGCAAAAATTCTCTATCAGATTTAGTTCAATTGTGTCAGTTTATTGACTTGTGCCCGCATAACTTCCGATGTTTGTTCTCGACAAACTGAATGCAGGTTAGGGAACTTCACCGGCTTTACAGTGTTCAAAGGATGCTGATGGATGAACTGAAAAATGCGATGAAACCAACTAGAATTTGGGTTGGAATAACTGGCTCAAGCATTAACCACTCCCATTTTGTCAACCAAACTCAACCTGTAGAGAGTCATGGTTGTGATCCACATTTAAGTGTGAGAGACGATCAAAGATCACGTAAAAGGAGTGGTAGCTGCTCTGGAGATGCATTGAGAATGACAAAGGGTTTCGTCCTTGAAAGGCCTGTGGAAGATGATATTTCAGGTGGAATTAGTGCCATTGAAGACGGCCAAGCAGGACCTAGCTGCCAGAGGCCCCGAGAAAACAGTAAGACGCACGTGGATGGCGATGAAGAAGAGAGTGAAGTGGAGCTGACTTTGAGCATTGGAAGACCTACAAGCAAAAATAATAGATCAAAAGTTCACCAGCAACATTGCAGCTTACAATTAGGCGACTCTCAATCAAATCATAATGAATTCATGGAGTTGGATTCTTTTGCCTCAATCAAACCTGATAGAGGAGAGGAACACAATGATCTCAACAATGGAGCAGGACAGAGGAGAGGAACACAATGATCTCAACAATGCCATGAGCAGTTCAAGTGCAACATTCAATCAAGAAACTAAGAGGACAGATTGGCTTTTCCATGGTCCAAGCTTGAATAGAACATGATTTTTTACATGTATGTTCTGTATCGATTAATTTTAACATATTTTTGTGAATTCAGAGACCTGACTTCACTGATGCATGAAGAACACCTGAGAGCCATTTTGACTACTTGTAGGGTTTTGTTCTTCAGAGTATTTTGCTTAACAGCTTCTTGTTAAAAGCATGGCTTAAAACATAATTTCTGAAGGTATTTTTTTTTTTTTTTTGGGGGGGGGTGGGTGGTCTAACATTCATCATAATTTCAGTATGATAGCAATTCAATCTAGAAAACTTGATTAACATTAAGCTCATAATCTCAAAACATCAATTTCAAGTTCATTACATAAATTCAATCATACAAGATTCATTCAACCCAATTAAAGCATGTTTAACAATAGATATACAATAAAAAATATACAAAACAGTATAATGGTTCGGCCCACTCGGCCTACGTCCACTCTTCCCAACCCATGTGGTTGACTGTCACTCCACTATTGGGGAGTTATTCGCCAACCCCAACAAGCGTGTAGATCGCAAAGGAACAATCTACTAGTCCACCCCAAATAACCATCGCAAGGCACCACATAAGGATTTGATGAAGGTTTTCTATCAAGGCTAACCTACGACCACTACACAATCTAGAAATTATTTCATCTAGGATTTCCTACAACTTTTCCAAGGGGGTCACTTGCCAACCTACCTAATGGATCCTTAGCTAAGGCCTCCACTAAGGTTTTGTGAATGTTTTCCTAAAGGTTCACCTACAACCTATTATATACAATGGGCAAACCACTACCCAACCTAGAAATTACTTTATCTAGGATTTGTGAAGGTGTTCTACAGTCCTACAATGGACTAAGTAATCGCAAGGCACCGAATTAGTGTTTGGTGAAGGTTTTCTATGGCTCACCTACAACTGGTACCACGACCTTAAATCTCTACACTTTACTGTCAAACCACTTGGGAATTACAAGTTTCACCTAGGGTAGTGTCTCTAAACTTTGTGCCAAGGTAGTGTGTGGTATACAAATGTGTATCTAAAACTCAAAAAGTGCACCAGTCTCTTGGGTGGAGGTGCAAAAATGTATTTTCGCCCTCTTTCCCTCTCCTAAAATATGCAGGTGAGTGTATTAGAGGGATGTCCCCAAAACCATCAACCTTTATTTGTTGAAATGAAAGGGTTAATATAGGGGTGGGTATGGACTCTGGTCGACCAACATCAGGGGCTGATTGACCAGCTCAATTCCAGAAGTCAGCAGCCTCCTGCCAACTCCAAGAATAAGGCAAGCTCATCCTACGAAAGTGTGTTTCCTATGCAAATATGTCCTAATTGACTTGGACACGACTTCCTATGACCTTGAAGTCTTCCAAAATGCCAAAGTCCGTCTAGCAACTCGAGGCTGAACGTCGTCTTCTTTGTTAATGCCAGGAAGCTCCAAGTCCAAGGCTTGCATCCATAGCTCGTCCGAGTAATGTCTTCATCATAACACATCCTAAAGGTACTGTAAAAGTCATAAAATTGTCAATCTACGGTTCTAGACCTAACAATAAATCAATAAGCGAAGGTAGATTGGGAAATAAGAAGATTCTGCAACAATTTTCCTAAATAGTGAGAAGATTCTGCAGCAAAACATGACTGAAACTCCCAATCAACAACTGATTTATACTTCACTGTTTTTTTGGGAGAGGGAGAGGGAGAGGGAGAGGGAGAGGGAGAGAGAGAGAGAGAGAGAGAGAGAGAGAGGCCAATACAACACAACAAAATCACACTTTATTTTCAAAACAATAACTATTGTATTGGTTTTTACACTCTGCTGTACACACATCCCATTCTCATGCAATACAACCTAAATGTATGCATTTGCAAAACTCCTACTTGTTTTGTTGATGAACATACAAAGAAAAACAAAAATGGAAGCTCACAACAAACCTGTGATCATAAAGAATACCAAGCAACTAACTTAAAAAAATAGGAGAAATAAGCGAACATGTTCAAACCACCAGATGCTATATGAAATGGAAATTATCTCCAGTTCTTCCCTCCAATCATCGAAACAACCTTCTTGGGAGTATAAGCAGCTAAAATGAACTGATGCTGTCCCTTGTACTCTTGAGAAATTGAGTCACTCGCTGCACAATACAGAAAGCAGCAATTATCATTAATTCCGAAGGAAGCAACTGATGGATAGTATTTAATTTTATCATCAATATAACTGTGGTTATCTTGACAAGTAGCAATGGAGAAGATCATGAGGGAGAAGTCATACAGATTTCCAAGCATGCTTTCTTATATCTGCAATCTAAGCTGCAGGAAGCTGATATAGAAAACCAGATGCACAGTGGTACTCAGAACAATAGAAGGGCCATCTTCAGCTTATTCTGTTTCCATTTGGGCAACCTATAGAAAGCATCCTTTGTCATCCCAAATTTCTCCCTGAACTCTACTGAAGACAGATAAGTCTGCATGCACATTTCTAGATCTCAGTATCCACACAATAGCCATAAACAACAACAATGCCTTCTAAGATACATACCTCTCGCTTGGTTGCATCGATTTCTATAACAGGATCTGTTGAAGCTATTTTAATGCGTTCGTATGGGTATATTGGAAGCCCTTCCTCATCTTCAGCTTCACCCTCCTTTACATCTTCCTGTATTGTTAGAGCTTCAATTCTATTGCTCATGGAATTTGTCTCTGGTATTGGTTTGGGTGCCTCAGGGCTCACTTCACCCATGACAATATAATTATTCCAATGTCAGTTGGGAATACAATTACTAAGCTGTTTTAAGAAACTAAAGCAACCATACCTTTAAGTGAACGGGGTATAATAGTTTCTCGTGCCGGTACTGGTTTTTCAAAAGTGCTGCTTAGTGATGATATAGCTGAGGATCTGGAAGCCAGCTTTTCTGAATCTGGGGTTGCAGATTTTGGGTAAAGCTTTTTTACCACTGGGGGAGGAGTAGAAAGATTCCTTGCATTTGAGTTCTCAAAAGTAGCAGCTAGTGCATTGAAGGCTGGAGACCTGCCTCTCACACGAACTCGTTCAGGACTGAAAGACATACTTCTAGAACGCTGTGATTTTTCTGGCACAGCAGACCTTCCTCCGTATGATACTGGCGTTCTCCTTTTGGGTTTCTAGTCATACAACACCATTAAACCAGCAAAATATTACCTACTTGTGTGTTCTCTAATGAGTTCTAACCCATAATATTGCATCATAAATTGTATTCCATATCCACTACGTTACTCATTAAAGAATAACTAATCCAAGGTACACTTGTAAGCATGGAAGATAAAATATTAGTCTCTTAAATTTACTTCTCTTTTTTCTGTAGCTTTAGGCTTCTTTTTCACATTAAACAGGTTTACCATTTGAATCCATTGTACGTTCTCAATGTAAATTATACCCGTAATATCTCAATTTCAGTTCAGCATTCTGTAAACATTTATTGAAGCTCATCATTTTTCTAGTTGCAATACATTCATTGAAGCATCAACATGCTAGTATATTACATATATAAGATTACAAACTCATTCAGAGATGAGATATAACAAAGACGTAACAAAGAAGTCGTATTAGTGTAAATGTTTTGTGCATCTTACTAAGGAAAAAACGATAACACAAAAACTTTAATATTTCTATACTAGAAAGCACAGACACTTCATTTTAGTCAAGAGTGTTATTGTCAGACACGTCTGGGACGTAGACACGCTTGGACACGTTAAAATGAGTGTCCAAATTTTTTATTATTATTCAAAACACGTTGGAGATGCATTGAGGATACATTTTGAGATTTTTTTTCCAATTTTTTGAAAACTTTTCAAATGACTTCTTAATTAAGGAAGTTATTTTTGTAATTTTAAAGAAATGAGTCAAATTCATAATATAAAGAGTTATAATCACTACATGAACATATGACATGGATATAACAATTTCGGACACAAATATGAAATTATTTACAAATGGAATAAACTTTTAATATGAAATGTGATAAAAAATAGGGTTACAAAATTGGGGCTATTTGAAATTGATGATAAATGTGTTATGAAATAGAATATTTTTGAAAATGAAATTTGTAATATTCATTGATTGCTGGATCATGGATGTTAATAATGGATGTGTATCATTATATCATATATTGTATTTTTTAGACGGTGATGTAATGATTTGAGTTTTTTGAATTAGGGAAAGGATGAATTGAAAGATTATTATGCAAGTATATTTATTTTATTGCGTGATTATATATATTTGTATATCTATATCTATACTACTTATAAATGACAGTATATATGAAAAAATTTTAATTTTTTATTTTATCTCTAATTTTTATTTTCAAGTCAGTGATACCCATATATTAGTTTTCTCTAATTTTTATTTCTTATACCTATTTGACTTTAAGTCATTTTGAACTCTTTTATTGATAGTGTTTGACTTCTAAATTTTATATTACCTTCATGCAATTTTTATTTCCTATATTTATTTGACTTTTAAGTTTTTTTAGACTCTTTTATTAATTGTATCTAATTTTTAAATTCTTTTTAACTCATTAATTAGTAGTATACTTGTATACGATTTTTTATATCTATGTCTATATTTATATGAAAAAATAAAATCTAATTTGCATTCTATTATTCTACAGTCCAACATATGTTATAATTGATTTTTTGGTAAACAATAATATCTTATTATTACATAGTATTGTAATTTAATCAATTTTTTTGACAAAAAAAATATAATAAATTTATAATTTAATTAGCTGTGTAAATACTCAATAATGACAATCTTACAATAAACATTCACTATAAGCAAAAGAAAAAATATCTAACGAGACGAAGAGATACCTAAACAAATAAAATATTAGACACTTGAAGAGAGGTAGAAGATATCAATAATTAGGTTTGACAATAATTAACATAAAAATTAATTAAAACTACATAATTTATTATTCAATTTAATTACACATATAATTTAAAGTTTGTAATAAAAAAATATTATTTAAATATATTCACGTGTAACGCACGTTGTGCATTACTAGTATATATATACACATAATATTTAATGTGTCCCCAACGTGTTCGTGTTCTACTTTTTTAAAAAATTGTGTCGGTGTGTCCATGTCATGTTGTGTCTGTGTCAATACTTCCTAGTTTCTATAGTCAAAGAGTTGCTTACACTGAAATGCTAAGTCTCTGCATCCTAAATAAAATGGGTTTAAAGTCAACTACCAGAAGGGCAACAAATATTATGATGGTTGAAAATAGTCTTTTAAGCTTTTTAGTAGTTCCTTTTAATGAAAACATTCATTTTATAAATACAATAGAGTTCTAGGTCGGATGGCAATTGAGTCGTGTTGTTTTTAATACTGTCATTTAGTGTTCGTGTTGAATACTAGTCAACCTTAAACCTATCCTTTTAATCAGCTATGTTAGATGTCTTGACACTAATGCACCCTACCATTAATCTTGTCAATTTGAGTTAATCTACATAATAGATGAACGAAAGCCTGCACAATATTTACATAATAATTGAATTGCTCAGTTAAGCATGACAACACCAAGCATAGTTAGCTAGACAAGTAATTCATCAAGGAAAAAATTGAATGCTATTTTGATTGGTAATCCATTGGTGAAGATGTGAGGGAAGCTTGCATATATCTCAACAAAAGGAGAATTTGGTACAAAGTTCCATTTGACTTTTGGCAAGCTGGGCATGTGTGATATCTTTGCACTAGCTTGAGGAAGAGTGCTAAAATTTCTCTAACCTTTTTATTTTTCTTATTATGAGGGGTATTTTTGCCAATATAGTATTTAAATCTATAAATGTAAGCTACAGAAGAAAAGAAACCTAATACTTCTCCTTTCTTTCTCAACGACTAATCTTATTTTTCTTTTCTCTTCTCTTTTCTTTTCTTTTTCTCTTATCAATAGCTTACATGAGTTCAACTAAAACAACTCTAAAATTGTCGCTTTGTTGCCCAAATTTAGCCACAAACCCCAACCTTTCCTTACACCTTTAGAAGCCCCCAAACCCTAAAACTTTTGCCCAAGTCTTTGTCCACAAATATACTCTATTTAGCCCCCCAAATCCCCTTTTTTTGGGCCACCAACATCATAAAGTGTCATAGCTCACGGGAGATCAAAAATGGTATGACCACAGTTGTCCTACATTAAGCACATATATATACTAGCTGATTATGGTCTCATAACGAAATTAATTGATGGAAAAGACTAATTATTTAGTTGGAAAAAGTTGGTAAGTGTGATAATTTATTAAAGAATTGATGCTATGTTAGTAATGGAAGAATTGTGTTTATTTTGCAGGAAAATGACTAAAAATTGGAAGAAATAAAGTAAAATGAGAGGCATAGTTGTGGAGGAGCTTTTTGGAATGCGCGTTCAGACGGTGGAATGCTTTGCGTCCAAACAAAAGTGACAGAAGGTGAAGGCTAAGATGCTTGAAGAGTTGGAACATACTGCCAACTGCGTCCGCACGCGTGTTGCTAGAGTGCCAACGCCAGTAGAGGAGTTATATTGTAATTAAATCTTGTCTAAAATCATGATATATATAGGAGAGGATGGTTGTGTAGAGAGTGCCTTTGCTTTAGTATTTTTATTTATTTTCCTTTGGTTTACTGTTGTCATGTATGGCTAATAGGTTTAGCTAGGGCTAGGGGAGATCCTCTTAATGAAGTATGATACTGTTATTGACTTATGGTTTTAATGGTATGTGATATTTTGTTAATTTAAATTCTGATTCTTAGTAAAGTTTTTGCTCTGTAAAGATTTTTGAGTCAATGTGTCTTCTACCTTGATTTCTTGAATTTCCATGCGAGACAAATAACTAGTTATTCCATGCTTAAGTTAATTACAATTTATTTCATATAATAATATAATTGGAAGATTACTTGGGTAAATCATGAATTCGATTGTTAGGAAAATTTGATTTATTGTAGACTCCGGACACAGTAAATACTTACAATCAACAATGAGTTCATTGATTTTTCTAGATAAGCTTTTGGTTATAAACAGAGGTGTTTTTTTGTTTTTATTGCTAAATTCGGTGACTTGAGTCAGTTGACACTTGATTCTTATCTAGGTTTGAAAACTAAGTCTTTAATCATTACTGTATGGATTTGAGAGGGTGTACTTGATGCTCTAGTATATTTTTTATACTGCTTTAATCACTTTACTTGGTTTTATTAATTCAAATACTCTTTTGAAATAAAACATCTTCACAAGTTTGTTACAGAGTTTGGTGTGGTTTCTAGTGTTTTCACAATTCCTGAAGGTACGACTTCGATCTTCCAAGTCTATATTACTTTGAACAATCTGCACTTGTGTTTACATATTTAAAGTTTTAGCACCAACAATAACCCCATGCTCGAAGACACTCTTCAATACCAAAAATTAAACATTGATCGTACAATATTTATAATTCAAATATCAATTTTTTTCTTTAATTACATAATTTATGGAGTGGATATTCAGAAAATAAGAGAGAGGTAGTTGTGTGTTAGTGAGGTTGTCTAACATTAAGCAGTGTGTTAGTTGGATTGTCTGACATTGAGGGGCGTATTGCAAAGATGATGTTTTTGGGCAGAAAACTTATTTTTTGAATAAATTTTGTACCGTTAGATAAAATTAGATGAAGATTGGATTATTTTTAACTGTTATTGTACTTTTATAAATGTGAAATTAAAATTGCTAATTGTAAAATTAGATATCTATATATATACATATACACACAATAAATGTGAATTATTCGGGCGGTAGGCTCTATAAATTTAATTCTTCATTTGAATATGTTATGAACATGTGATACAAATAGTATGGATTATGTCAGGGAATCACTTTATGGCACAAAAAAGCACACAACTTTGCTTGACATCTCTAAACCGCCACTTTAACAAATATCGTAGCAAGTTTTACATGGAAGAGATATAGCTTATGAACTACCAAACAATCAAAAGCAGAAAAATAGAAAATCAAATTAACAAATAGCTAAGATGTACTATGACATATAATATAGTAAGAGCTCACTTATACCCAGAAGTTGCAAATAATTTGGCAAAGAGAGGACATTGCCCAGAATAGAAACCTTAATACTGCAACTTGCAGCATCCCAACTTAGAATTTTATAGATATAAACAGTGGACACAAAAAAGTCTGACATTACATTAGAGAGAAGGTGCAGAAGGAAAGTTGGCACATTGAAACACAGTAAGACATAGAAGGTAACAAAGAAAACAAGATTCCATCAATTAAAGAAAACATGGACTAAATTGAAGGTTCAGACAAAGAAAAGACACTTACATCCAGAGATGGAGTTCCACCATTCTTAACTATAGCAAGTTTCCTCTGGAATGAGTTTCCATGCATCTATAGACATTGAAAACATTAAATTCCTTTACAAAATTTTGAATTCCTAGCGACCACAATGGACTCAGGAGTATAATGAGATCACTTACTGCAGATTTTGCAGAGTCCCATGTGAAAAATCGTGTGAAGAAAGGTGGCTCACTCCCTTCCATAACAAAGTATATTGGCGCTTGACGAGATAATTTCTCCAAAAGGTAATCATGTTCAAGAAATTTCTGTTGAAAACAAGAAATGGTCAAGAATTTTATAAGAAACCAAGCATCAGAAATGCTAACAGGTGGTTGCGCATGGCAAACATGGTTAAGCTCCAAGTTTTACGGATTTAGTTTTGAGGACATAAAGCCAAAGCTTGTTCTGGGGATCAGGCCCCTTAGTACTTAACAAAGCTTTATCCCAACATTTTTGAATTCTGTTACATGAATGCTGTTTCACCATTCTCCAAAGGATTGGACCCCTTGGTAATTTCACAAAACGTTGGCTCAGTTCCACCAATGTGAAATCCCAGTTGAAGACTTGAATTGAGAAAGTTCGATGCAGTGGTGTCCAAGTTATACGACTTTTTAAGGTCATGTCCCTAATGCAGTGGAGTCTTAACATAGTAGTTCTGATCCTTACAATCAACCCATAAATCTTTCTTTTCCCAAAAGCTTAGTTAAATCATACCTCCCCAATAGTCAAAGCATGCATTCTGCTTTTGGAGTCGACCTGTTGCCCCATCCAGACAAAGATCTCTGAGTGACAATCAAGGATGAATATATCTTCAGTCATCAAATCATCCTGGTTGAAGTTGTATATCTCTGTAACCTGTAATAAAACACTTGTTCAAATTCAGTGCACAAAGACTCCATGACATTAAAATTGTCAGATACATGTTTATATGAAGTTAAAAACAATCTTTTTCTCATATAGCATTTAGTACTTGTAAAGATATGATATAATTCAATATTTTTAAGCATTTTGATATACTGAGCATCTACTAACACAAGCATGTAAAGGAGTAAGACATTAAAGGACAAGTATTCTGTAAAGCTACAACTAGAGTGACTGCATGCAAAGACCAGATGATAGATCGGAAAGCACATTTAAAGAAAATACATACCTTCAGGTCACCTGAAGAGCAGCATAAATGGCGGCAGTAATCAGTAAGGTGGAAAGAATACAAAAAATAATCAGGTTTAGGTAAAGGACTCTGAAAGAATGAATAAAACTTCAACAACAGAGATTACTTCTCACCCTTTGAGAAAGTGCATGAGAACAAATGAGGATCACTTTCAGGAACCCTACCAATCTTCTGGCTGGGGTATTCAGATTTTCCACTCAACATTTCCCAAAATTGTTCAGATTCTGCCCCTTCTTTTTGTAATTTGGACTGCATATTTGGCTGCAAGTATAGTGTATGACCCAGTGGAAAAAACAAAAATATTTGATTAGGAAAAGATAAGATAAATATTCTTCACAAAACTATGGCCGCCAAAATAAAGTACTTGGGTATGTTTAGGCATTCAAATGAATTGATCAGCCTCGTTGACTTCCAGGCAATTCACCAACCAGTGAGCGAAGCATTTAGTGAAATGCATAAATGCAACAAATACATTTATACATAGCTCATTACAAAGATGGAATCTGCATAGGCTGAAGTAACTCTTACTAGGGGAAGATAAACATCCACAACAGTTATCAGACCTTTATTAGATCCAGCTGCCTCTCAACAAGTTCCTGGTCCTCAAGGGTTGTAAGGTTTCCAGACCAAGTAAAGATGGAGGAATCACTGTGTAGTATATAGCAGTAGGAGGAATTTAAAGAGGACGCCACCTGTTTCATATAAAACCAAAAAATAAGGTTCTTTAGATATATTTCGAATTGTAATTCGAAAATAAGGTAACAAGTAAATTTGATAAACACTAAGTAGTGATAGAGCCGTGGAAAGACAATAATCAAGAAAATAACTAAGGTCCTTGTTAAGAAATCTTTTATCCCATATTAGGTTAGTTTATATATTTGAGGGGCTACTCAACCTATTGTCAATTAGTTTTGGGTTGGATGCTCTAACAAGACAATAGAATTGGGTCTTTGGTGTTTAGTGGGCCAAGTCTCCTACCCATTTGAATTTTTTAGTATGCATAGTTGTTTGGTTGTTTGTTGACCCCACGTATGAGCCCAAGTCCCACGTGAGGTAGGGTGTTAAGAGAATTTGTATCCCACATCGAATAATTAGAACCATCAAAGTTAGTTTATATACTTGAGGGCTACTCCACCCATTGTCAATTGGTTTTGGGTTAAATGCTCTAACAGGATGATTGATAGCAGCTACAATAAGTAAATAGAGTAATATTAGTTATAGGTAAAACATATTTATGGAGTATACTATAATATGACTACACAAGTTTGCAAGTACATATATAATTCCACAAAGATGACTTGGGTCAGGTGACCAGCTTGTCAGTCCCCAATATACATTCTCACTGGTTTTCTTTTCCTTCTCCATTATTTCCTTTTCTATTTCTTGTTTGTGTGTTTAACTGCCATGTTACATATTGTACCCATTAAATAACAAAATGATCCTGATACGTGTTCCATCCTCCTAAATCAAACTCTCAATTCAGGAAACGAATACAATTCTGTGGTGGCTGCCATAGGAACTGGATGGAAATCATACTTGGTTTTGATGAAGAAAATTGATCCTTGCATCCTTCAACTTAAATAGTTTGAATTGAAATTGGAAATCATTTTGGAGGAAAACCAACCAGCTTGAATGAATGCAATATTTGGAACAGAGACACAGGCATTGCAGTTACCATAGGTATCCCACGATTCAGAGTCAGACAACCCCATACAGGGTGTTTTCTCTACAGTGGTGAAGCTATTGCAGATTAAGTTTTGTGGTTTTAGAAAGAAAAAGGAAGCAAAAGTAATATGGAATTGTGTGTTGATTATGTTTCTTTGATGCATTTTGGATGGAGAGAAATGCTAAAATTTTCAAGGGAAAAAATAGTTTTTATGGCTTCACTTATAGACCAAAGCCACATGAATTTTTACATGGTTGCCTTTGTCTGATCTCCAGTGGAATTGGAAGGTGGCTCTGCTGTAGTTTTTCCCCTTACGTTTTTCTCTTTGATATGCATTTTTCTTTTTTTTTTTCTGAAGATATCTTCTTGTTAACATTGTATTTTTTTTTGATTTCTTTTATTAGAAAAAAAAGCTTATCTTCTGCCTTAATCACTGTAACAATTGAAAATAAGGAAAATTGCACCCTTTGTTAAAAATAAAAGTATCACAATAATTGGAGAGTGAATCAAAGTGGAGTTTAGCAGCAAGGAGTGATCTCAAAAAAGATAAAGGGAGACAGAAAAAAGGGACTTACTGGTTCAACTTGAATTGCTTGCATATTTTCAGGTCCAGTACCCTGAATTCGGAATAATGCAAGTCCATTCTCTGTATACGTCTCATCTGCAAGTTCATTGTCTGCTACATATTTCTTGTACCCTTCACTGAGACCACCCTGACGATTTTTATACAAATTGGAGAGGGCAGCCAAAGAGAAATAGAAAATTATACACCATAATGAAGAGAACTATAACTTCTGAAGGGAAGAGTTCCCCTAAGTATGTCTTATTCTGCCAAACCTTAAAAACAATATAGCTCTGAAAGATTGAAAAGAACTGGATAGGTTCACTTCCTTCGTAGATCCGAGCCTAGAAATCCATAATATATTAATAAATATATCCAAACAGCAAATAGTCCATCAATAATATTCTAGTAAATTAATATCAGTAAACATGTATTACCTGAACAGGTAAAAACTTTAGTGACTCAACCATCTTGCTTGCAAGTGAAGTAGCTGAAGTTCTATCCTCCTATATTGCATAATAAGTATAAATATATAGATCAACGAAAGTGTCATGCATGCTTTGAACTATAGTATGGGCACATTTGTAACCATGCATGCACAAACTATTCGATGCTCTAAGCTTAAAATTAAGAAAATCATTAATCGATAGAACAGTATTGTGTAATCAAGAATATCTTCCATGCACCCTTGATACTTGAGCCACTAATCGACTGGCTACTCTTCATGTTTCTCTGCTGCAAATGAGTTGTTGACGGCCAAACAAACTAAAAAAGATACCTCCACTTAAATCTACCGGCAAAGAGTCAGTAGCAGCCTTGAGATCAAAGGAAAAAAAATGACTTCAACCAAGCAAGGGGTGTGATTTAGCTATATCTCCTCTTAGTTGGAAGACAAAGAAGCACATCCATCACCCAATCATGTAAAGGCCAGACTAAGGCCTGAAACAGAGGATTGCAATGATATGTGTGTTTGATTTGGGTGGGTTGGGGGGGTTGGGCAAGGGGGAAAGAGAGAGAGCACACTTCAAATGTACATAAAATAGTCTGGAAAAATTGTGAACAATATCAGTCCCCCTAGCCTCGTCAAAAAATATAATCACACAATCCTCAAGATTTTGTGTCAAATATCATTCAAGTTTCTATACAAAATTGTCAAATTCCATGAACTTTAAAAATGCAAAATGAGTCACTTTGATGTATAAGTTTCATGGTGTACATCTCAGGATAATAAAATACGACAAGAGGTTTTGCACTGATATACAATGAAAACAAAAGAGAGCAAAATAGCCTTCATAACACAAAAAGTGGATCAAAGGATAGTATTTGCTACACTGTATAGACATAACACAGTTGGTATGCATATGTTTGGGTTTGAAAGTGTAAATCCCAGTCTGCCCCTTGGAGCCATTCCACTTCCCAAAAGGGATATATCTTGGTAATTAGTCAATGTACGTGCGGTAAAGAGACTATATGATGGGGATCGTGTAGGAATTGAATAGATATTTTAGATTAATCATGAGAGTAATTTAGTATTTATCTTTTAATTATTTTCTTTTAACTTTTAAGGGTTTAGTTGTCATTATGACTATTTATTTCTTTTAGAGTTTTTTTAGGATTTGTGATCGTCAATTTGGTATCAGAGCTAATGCGATCTACATCACTGTACGTGCTTGGGAGTAGGCTTGCAAGCAGGTCAGATTCAGACCAGATCTTGGTCAATCCGAATCCAAATCCAACTAAAACATTCATGTCTGAATCCGAGTCATATATTCGACAAATATGAAAATTCTGGTCTATATCCAAACTTGTTAAGAGTCGGAACTCCGATCTGAAAATCGGATCTGGATTCAATCAATTCAAACAAAACTTCATCAAATATAAAAAATTTATTTAACAAAAACTAATTTTTTTTCAACTTAATTTCATCGATCAATCCCCAACTCAAAACAGTTTTGGTTCAATTTGATCTCAAATTTATTAATAACTCAACCAATTTCACAAAAAACAAAATGAAAAAACATCAGATCTTATCAAGGATTCAGAGATGGAGGAGTTCTTCAAGCCAAAATCCTAGTTTTCCATCTTGAATCCAACGACATTCCAAAATTTCAAGCATACAAAATATTGTCACAAACCATAAATACCAAAACCACTTTTCCATTTTTCAAAACTAACCCTAAACTAGCACCCCACAAGTTGAATCACAAACCCACATAAACCTAAATATGTATGGAAGATGAAGGAGAGAGCAGAAGCGAAAGAGAAAGATGCAAAGAGGAGAGTGGAAGAGAGAAGAAGAGAGAGAGACGAAGACGGAAAGAACAGATGGAGAGAGAAAGGGATAGAGGAATGAGTGGCCAGAGAATCTTGGTGAAGAAAAGGGGTGCACCTTGCACAAGCAAATTGTGTTTGGACTTTGGAGAGAAAGGAAAAAGGGTTGGTTGCATGTGTTTTGGGTTGTCACAAAAGGTTTATATAGGCGTGTAAACCGGATTGGATCTTTATTGGATCAGGATTTGTGTATCTCTAAATCCAATCTAAAAAATTTAAACGGATTAGGATTGGACCGGGTTAATAGATTACCTTTTTAATCCATATCCGGGTAAAGGGATTCAGACTGGATTCGAATCAAGATTCGGTCCATTGATAGGCATACTTGAGAGGATTAGGTGGGTTCTTTGAGAGCCCTACCTCCCTAAGGCTGAACATTTATGACAATTTGTAGCTATAGGGGACACATATTTCAAAATTAAATAACTAGGCCGATCTCTAGTCTTGCGCTTCAACCGTGTCCAAGGGGGACCACCTTTAATTTGAGGACTTAAAAAGAAGTACAATGTAAAGATAAATGTAATTTGTTGGAGTTGGGATAATCAACCATACCGGGGTTCCCACTTATATTCATATGTACCACCATTACAATTTGTGCTTCATACGGAATGCAGTAAGGCTTAAAATAAAATAAAATAAAAAACTAAGGGAAGGAGCATAGCATTCATTGCAAAACATAGAAATCATACAAGTCAAGTCATTGTTCAGTGTCAAAGTAGCAAGATCATTAAGCTTTTCGATCAATGTAAAAGCCTTGACTCACTTTGGCACAATGCTTTTGCCCCGCATCATTTAATTCAGGTTGAGACATAAGGTCCTTTATGTGAAAGATGATGCATGTTATATGCGGAATGGAGACTGAAAAACATAATAGGCAAAAGACTTTTCACCTCAATACTCTGCTTCCCAAACCATGTGCCTACAAGGCATTCCTCTTTATCTTCACCGGGATAAGAATACTGAAAGACATAGCAATCTCCACTGTAAAGTTTTGACTGATCAGAAGCTGGAAGAAGGGTCTTCCCTTCGCCATTCACACGCCAAACCTAAGTAACCATGGTGAAAAGTACCATTAGCAAATAACCAGAAAAGTACAAGCTGTGCTCCTCCTTGGCATTGCTCTTTCTTTAAGGAACATCGATTTTAGTAAAGGAATAAAGAAAGAAGAATCTACATTCTTTTGGTAGATTAGATTGGACAAATATATGCATACAGCACCTGTAGATTTCCGGTGCAGTCGATATATGGTTGAGGTTCTTCCGTTGCAGGAGCTGCTTTCAGTAGACCCTTCACATTAACCCCTTGGCTTTTTAGAAGTGCTACAAAATAATCAATAAGGAGCTGTGACTGAGAATTTCAAGAAAAATAACGAGAATCATAGGATTTCCAAAAGACATGATGATAGCAAATTATAGGGATAGATAAATATATTGTAATAAACATTTTCTGGGGACACAAATTTTGCAACAAATATTAGCTACTCACCAGCAACCTTGCCTCTGCCATCCTCAGATACTGCAACAACAGTTGACGGAGGCCATGAATCAAACTTTGATCGGAACATCACTGTCTCAAATCCCTCAATTACACGGATTATGTGAGATCTTGGTCGATCAAGGTCACGGACTAATTCCTATACAGTAGTTGGCGTAACATTTATAAAAAGTAGGATAGGGAATTACATTCACATTAAGAAACTCAACTAATTAAAAAGCATTAAGTCTTACATCTGCTGCTCCACTTGCACTTTTTCTTTCATCAAGAGAAGTAGTTCTGCCCATCCAGACAAAAACTTGTGCCCCACAATCAAGAAGATAACATTTATTTGTGTCTAGTAACTCCCTCACCAAAGAATCGAACTCAACAGGTTCTGCCTCCCCCTTCTCAACCCTATAATAGAAGCCGAAAAAATGTTTTTTTCAGGACAAAATGTAAGCGTTCCACAGTTCACCACCACAAACAAAATTTCTATTATGCTCAAAGAACCTGTAATCGTAGTCATAAAATTTAATCCCGCAATTTTGGAAGAAAAATATTCTTTTTTTTCTTTTTTCTTTTTTTTATACATGATGATCTAAGCACTGGCTAAAAATAATAGAAGGAAAGGAACAAATTTATGTTATACACATGATATCACTATATATGATATACAAGATATAGTTGTATGATTATATAAGTTTCATCCAAAGTTTTGATTAATGACAAGCAAAGAGTTGTGCGAGAGGAGGAAGAGGTGTAGTATGGTACCCTACCTCTCACTCTCATTTTAAATTTATAGAAAGACAATTAAAAAGGATGGGCATACCGTTAAGAGGGGTGTACTCATTAAAATTGCAATAAAATAGACAATAATAATACTAATCTCTCAACAAATTACTCAGCTATATGTGTCAAATAATTATTTAATACTAACCATAAGCTTTCTTGCTTTCACTACAGGATTTTTCCATAGGTTTAGTCATGAGCACATACATACATATTTTATACAGCAAGCAAAGTTTGACCCCAAAAAATGAATGGAAAATATTTATAAACTACAAATATGGCATATATTTATGAAAGAGATCCAAACAAGATTGAAAATTTCAAATGGGCAAAAGCACATTACCGAAACAGCCTAGGAGAAAGAGCTTCAGTACTTTTAGCCCCATCAGTGGCTGTTTTCCTGGGAAGTGGAGCAAAGCCACCAAAGAAACCCCAGAATTCTCCAGTTTCAACATCAGCCATTAGTTTTCCATCCTCTATGTAAACAAACCAAAAGCAGACTTATCAGTCATCCGGTACGGCTGTCTTAACTATTGAATTAAATATCCACTTACCAATGGCAGCCACCTCGCATTTTCCATCATGATAATTATCTTTAATATACTGCACAACTTCAAGTGCTTTAGCCCTCTCTTGAATTGATGAGTTGGAACAGTTAAATTGAAATATCTTAGACTTGGTATCCAGTATAAAGATATCATCATGACTGAGTGAGGATCGAGCAAAAGGAACCTGTCCCCAACATACAGAAAGTTGAGAATAAAAGGCACAACGACATATGTTACTGATCCATCATCAACAAAGCACTGAGGAACATAGACTTGCCTCTTCCACATGAACAACATGCTTTCCTCGGCAAACATATAAACGGATCTTGTGCTCTTCAGCCTCTGCATGCTTGAATCCAGTTGCAACTCCCCCTTCTTGAGGTATGATACATGGTTTAAAATAAGAAAGAAACTTCTCAGTTTCATGGCCTTGTACTTCACGATACTGTACAGCACGCCCTCCAAGAGCTGCATCCAATTCAACAGTTTTGATGGCTGCAGTACCAGCTTCATCCTATTTAAAGCACCGGTATTGACCATCATATCACAACTACATCAGGATACAGATTCAGCTGAAAACTTACAAATATTTACCTGACTAGTATCTTTACCGAGCCAGTAATGAATATCATGACGCAAGGCACCACTTTTTACAGCAGTTGTCTGCAAAAAAGGAAAGCAAGAAATGAGGATTTTAATTAAACAAATGACAATGGATGGCTTTTAACATGAATTAAAGAATAATTATGCTTTTCACAAGATTGAATGTAACTGAATAACATAATGGCAAAATTTACTCATTGAATAGATTTACTGAACTAATCTAATATGACCTAGACGAATTGGCTTCAACTTTAACAATATGGCACTAGCTTAATTAATCATTTGCGATTGTGATCTTGTCATGACCCTGTTCACAGTGAAATAAGAGCACGAGTATCTCATCTTCTACATGTCAAAATCTCATCGGATGTCGGAAAAATGGGGTCCAAAATGCGTTCTCATTTTGTATCTGCCATCTAAATTCTAAAATAAAGCAAATGTAAATTAGTAGCTAAACACTTTCAGACGAAGAAATTGGACCTTAGAAGTATTTTTCATTTGCATAAAATAAAACAATTAATGACCTAGTGGGATGCAGAACTCCTGAATAAAAGACAGCTGCATAATTCCAAATGATAAATGGCATTTCAGGAAGGGAAGCTGTTCTGAGACACAACATGTTGAAGAAGACTAGAAATAACGGGTAAATTACAGTCAGAACCCATGAGGGTTGCCACTGAATCACATGGATCCCTTCAAGTATGAAAATTTATACTAACATCCTCTGTGATATGTGGGTGTGTAACACATAGACCCCTTGTCGTTAAGATTTGCTTGAGAGGCTTGATGATGACATATTTTTTATATAAAATCCCGAATTACCCCCAGCATCATTCCACACAAAAATTCCAAACATTTATATTCTTTCAACAATAGCCTCTCTCTCATCAGTCACGCACCACCAGGCCAACTACCACTTCATTAAAAAGCTCCGCTCCTCCCCCAAATTCCCCAAACCCACTCACCTCAACTCCTACCCCATCTGCTGCAAAATCCATCCCTCTGTGCGGTAAAACCCCCCTAACCCACTCACCCACCTCAGCCCGCACCATGCCCCCTCAAACACCCCAAACCCTTCCCAACCCCACCATCCACCTCCTACGCCATCCATGCAGCATAAAAGCCACCCTCTCAGGTCTACCACATTCATCCTCCTTTGTTTCTCTCCACACACACTCAAACACACTGGCACGCACACACCGTCACACATGCAACACCATGGCACCACCATACACCCATGGCCCCAAAATTGTCACCACCACTGCACCACCACCACCGCAATATGCAGACAGGTACAATCACTTCCACCGCCACACGCTGACCACCGAAACACCATCATTAATCTGAAATCTCCACCCAGAAAATCCTAACAAAACTACCCATTCAAGCATCAATCTCTCTGTGGCATGGTGATTCTGGATTCTAGTTTGCATGCAGGTTAAATTCAAATACTTGCTTTCCATAAAAAAGTAAAATCACACAACGAAAGCACTAGACATGAAGTTACTGGTGAAGAAAATATTCCATTATTCATAACCCATAAACATATCGATCTTTTGACAACATACATACAGCATAACCACTAAAGCCCATATGTAACAGGGAAATGAATGCAACAAGATCGAGACTAGAGACCACTTACCTTCAATATTACATAGGAGTCGCCCATGAAAAATTTGCCATATGAGGACTTCGAGACAGGCACGGGATGAAAATTTTCAATGCGCCAAATTTCAAGTCCACTATACATTGTCAAGGAGCATCAAAAGTGAACCTCAATAAAATAAAAAAAAACAAAATTCAAATTCGAAACCCTATAAATATATTTCTAATTAAAGCTATTGACATTTGGGTAAAAGGGTAACAAGAATTACTACATAAGTGCACAATACAGAATTTCTTAAGATGAAGGATACGCCTTCTGTCCAGCTCCTTGGAAAGCAGGATCCAAATCTCTCATTGAAACAGACATTGTTGTTTTCTGGCTTTGTATTTTTGGTTCTTCACTTTAGCCTTAAGAGAAAGTAGAATTAACATAAAAAGCCAGGAGACGTATACGTAAGGGAGACAAAGGTAAGAGATTAGTGCAGGAAGCAGAAGTAATGAAATTCAGCTTGACAGCTATGCAATTGAAGCCACGATGTTAAGATGGTATCTCATACTAGTAATATACATTGGAAAGAGGTCAACAAATAAACTCGAAAAAATTACAATCAATCACTAATATTCACGAATTCAGTCAGTCCAATTAAATCAAAATCAAGTGAAACCTCGCATAATAGCCAAGCACACTATTCCGTAGATTGTGCAATTTAATTTTGATGGAAGAAATAACTTGTAGCCCAAGATCCCCTAGGCTTACAAACTGTCTCCTAACTTACTAAATGGTCCTGCTTCCTTTTTCCATTCCAAACCAAAGAATATTCCTTACCTTCTCTAATTTTCTAGCTACTGCAACAAGGATTCTAAAGAGAGACAAGTAGTATCATGGGAAGCTAGACAAACAAGCTTTAACCAAAGTGATCCTCCTTCCAAGATAGAAATACATCATTTTCCAACCATCCAATCTTTTTTTTATCCTTTCGACAATTGGGTTCTAAAAAGGTAATGATCTCAGGTTTTCACCTAATGGTAACCCTAGATAAACCATAAGCCACTTATTTACAACACAACCCGCCTCTAAAGCCAAATCGTTGACAAAACCCTTCTTTAAATTAATGCCTATAACGCTACTTTTAGACATATTACCTTTCAAACCTAAAAATTGAGCAAAAATCTTAATAAGAAAAACCACATTCTAAAACATTTCTTTTTATCTGATAAGAAAAAAATAGTATCATCAGTAAAATGCAAATGCGACATAGTTACACCCTCCCCACCCACTCTAATCCCCTACATCAATCCTATTGCCCTTGCTCTAAAAATCCTCCTCTTCATGAGATCAACTACCAGTGTAAATATAAAAAGAGATAAAGAATCCCTTTGCCTTAAACCTCTTGAAGCATTATACCACTTTGTTACGATATTATTTGGGATGTAACCCTTAAGGATATTTTTAATATTTTTGTGTTGATATATATATTGGGAATTTGGGATGTCGCTGTGTAACGTAACACACTACTCTCTTTCCATATTCTTCTTCTTCTTCTTTCTCTTCTCAAACCTAATGGCATGATAATCTAACTTAGTATCAGAGCTACGATCAAAACTAACGCCTCAAAGTTGTCGAAATTGATTGAAAAACACCTCGCCCAACCAGGCAGTGTCGCATGTTAGACGCTGACATGTTGATGATAGCATCTAACATGCTTACGTCAGTTGCGAAACCTATCAAAAAAATATGATTTTCACCCATATGGATCGTCTCCTCTCCTAGAAGAGATTTATGGTTATTTCTTTTATTTTTTTTTGAAGCCATTTGATTGGTTATTCCATGTTTTGAATGTTTTTTGGGTTTTTTGGCTCCAAATCGAGATCTAAAAATTTATGAGCAATCTGGGAGCTTTCTTTGGGTTGGATTGGTCGAACAGGGTCGACTAGGACTCCAGTGTATTGCCTAGTGCATAAGATTGTATGGTTATTCCATGTTTTGAATATTTTTTGGCCCCAAATCGAGATCTAAAAATTTATGAGCAATTTGTGTGCTTTCTTTGGGTTGAATCTGGTCGAATAGGGTCGACTAGGACTTAGGTGTATTGCCTAGTGCATAAGATTGTATTTGAAGTGGATTTTGGTGGTTTTTTTATCAGCTTGTCGGCATCACTGTTCAGGCCAACAAACAGTCATCAGTTTGGCCTCTGTATAGTTTACATAGGCTATTTGACTCCTCCTTTGCTTTGGGTTGTTGCACAATATATTGTTTAAAGGCTATTAGATTGTTTTATGCTCATGACCCATTTTTTTGGAGGTATTTCTCGTGATTTTCTGCTATTTTGTGTTGGTCCTATTGTGTAACCATGTCAAAAGGTAATACGACGTCCACTAATGTCGAGTTTAGTATTGGAGGTAGCGGGTCGAGCCGTATAGGTGCTCTAGCAAATAATCCTTCTTTCCAAATTAGCCCAAAAATATTGGATGGGAGCAACTATCTGGCACGGTCATGTGCATGCCTATTATCAGTTCAAGCTATTCTTTAGATAGGTATTTGACTAGGGAGACTAAAAGGTCCAGGGACACAGATATCTCCTTGAGGCAGTGGACATCTGAGAATACTTTGATTATGTCTTAGTTGGTTAACTAAATGCAACCCTATATCAATCGTGATTTTCTATTGCTTGATACAACACATAAGATTTTAACTGCCATGACCCATACATATTCTCAGCGAGGTAATAATGCAAGGGCATACGATCTTCGGAAGAAAGTTCAGGAAACTAATTAGAGAGATAAAGCCCTTGCAGTTTATTATACAGAGTTGATGACCTTGTGACAGGAGGTTAATTACTACCAAAATTTCTAAGCAGATTATGCTACTAATGCCATAAAATTTCAACAGGTGGTTAAGAAAGAACGAGTGTATGACTTTTTTACTAGACTTGAGTATGATTAGGTTCAAGTACAAATTTTGGGTCGCAATTCATTCTCTACTTTACAAAAGACCTATAATCATGTTAAGCAAGAGGAAAGTCAGAGAATTGCTATGATTTATGCCCCTACTCGGGAACAGTCTGTGTTGGCTGCTATTCATCAGCATGACTTGAATCTAGTTTTGTCCAATCTACTGATTAGAGCGATATTGTTAGTAAGGATACCTTAAAGTGTGACAATTGTGGAAAGACCAGACATATTAAGAGTTCTGTTGGAAACTGCTGGGACGTCATACACGTGGCCGAGGTGGAGGTCACGGTAGTAATATGCAATCTCAGGCACATATGATTGAATCTTCAAAAACTCTCTCAGGATGAAATGCAGACTCTTAGACACCTGATGGTTCAACTTGATGCTTCCTCTACCATAACTTCTAATCATGACTCTTCCTCTAACTACCGAGGAAGATATGGTATGTCAAGAACTTTTCCTTCAATAGCTTTTATAATGGGATACTAATTAGGGGGAGCAACAGATTGTTAGTACCAATGATCCACCTGGTACTTTGAAGACCTATTCTTGATTTAGAAGGTATAAACCACCCAAGTGCCGTCAGATCAATTGAATTCCTCCACTTCAATTCTAGCATCTCTTACTGATTCACCAGGCAATGAGCTTTCAGTTGTCATCCAAGTTATTGATAATGCCACTGTTGATGATTTTGATCTTCCTATTGCAGTTAGAAAAAGTTTTCGAGCTTATGCTTAACACCCCATATCTAACTTTGTTTATTATGATTATTTGTCTCCATCCTATTGTACCTTTATTTCTTACTTGTTTTCTATATCTATTTCTCGGGGTTGGAAGGAAACTCTCTCCAATCCAAAGTGGCGAGAAGCTATGATAGAGAAAATGAGAACCCTAAAGAAGAATGACATATGAGAATTAGTTTTACTTCCTGTTGGAGTAGGTGCAATTGGATGCAAATGGGTATTCATTGTCAAACAACAAACATACAAGGCAAAACTAGTTGCTATGGGATTCACGTGAGACTTTTGCCCCTGTTGCAAAGATGAACTCCATACGTAAACTTCTCTCCAATGTTGCTAATTTGGAATGAAATCTACAACAGTTGGATGTGAAGAATGTCTTTTCTCCATGGAGACTCAGAGGAAAAGGTATATATGGAGATTCCACTTAGTTTTTCATCTCAAGTAACTGAAGGAAAAGTGTGTAAGTTGAATAAGTCACTTTATGGGTAGAAGCAATCACCTAGAGCCTAGTTTGATAGGTTTTTCAAAGCCATGTTGAAATTTAGATATAATCAGAGTCATGTTGATCATACTATGTACATCAGACTGGTAAATAACATAATAGCAATCCTCATTGTATACGTAGATGACAGAGTGATAATTGAAAGTGATATGCAGGAGATCACCAAACTAAAAACTTAGTTGGCTAGGAAATTTAAAATCAAAGACTTGGTTCCATTGAGATTTTTTTTGGGATTGAAGTTATCAGATCAGACAAGGACATTTTTATCTCCCAGCGAAAATATTTTCTTGAGTAGCTTGAAAAAATTAGTATACAGACTTAAAGATTCTCTCATTGAAGTCAACCATCAACTAGTGAGTGGTATTGGTGATGTTGTGGATAAAAAGAGATACCAGATATTAGTGGAGAGATTGATATATCTCTCTTATACTAGGCAAAATATTGCTTATGCAGTGGAGATTGTAAGTTAATTCATGCATGACTCTCGAGTCTCTCATCTGGAAGTTGTTCATCATATTTTGAGATATCTCAAATCAGACCCGGGGAAAGGGATCTTGTTCTCTCATAATGGTTAGTAGATGACAAAATATCCACTTTAGACTACTGTACTTTGATAGGAGGAAATATTGTGTTTTCACATAGCGAAGCAAAAAACATGCAGTGATAGCCAAGTCTAGTGCAAAGGTTGAATAAAAAACAATGGCTCATGGAGTATGTGAGCTATGTGGCTCCAAAATTGAGTGAGCTAGGAATTCGTAGTGTTGGGCTTATAAGGCTATACTGTGATAATAAGGTAGCTATCAACATTTTGACATAACCCTATTCAACATGATATAACTAAACATGTTGATATTGATCGACACTACATCAAAGAGATGCTGAAAAAGGGTATAATTTGCATGTTTTTTGTGAAATCAGAAAATCAGTTGGTCGATATTTTCACAAATGGGCTTAGTAGCAATCTTTTTCATTCTATCATTTACAAGTTGGACATGAGAGATATTTATAGATAAACTTGAGGGGGGGTTTTATGTTATATTATTTAGGATGTAACCCTTAAGGGTATTTTTGATATTTTTGTGTTGATATATATATATATATTGGGGGATGTAGTTGTTTAACCTAACAAACTATTCTCTTCCCATATACTTTTTCTTCTTTCTCTTCTCA